TTATATATTAGTAATATATTAATTATATATCTATCATATTTTATGCTTATAATATTTTTATCATATAATAATTATATTTGTCAAAAACTACAGGTTTCTGTAAAGTACGCGTTGTATGTAGGACGGAGTTTGGAATTTTGGGGGATTTTAGGTTAGGGTATAGGTTTATATAAATAAATTCTACCTTAAAATTATAATTTTATTAATAAATTCCAAATCCACTTAAATAACTTAAATTCCGTCCCAACTTACAACATGTGCATAATTTGAACGTAAAATCTACCTAGATTTTTTTTCATTAAATTTAGTATATAATTTTATACAAGCTAAAAAGAATATTGATAATTCAATGTTGCAAAACTTTATAATTTGATTAAACAATATATATATATTGTTTAAAGGTCGGTCCTGTCGAAGCCCATTTTTGCCAGCCACCGTCCCACAAACCTTTTATCGGTCCGTATCACTGCAGAATTACTAAACGATCACAGAAGTGTGGGATTAATTCTCATGCTGATCACTAATCAGGCCGATATATAAAAAACAGATTATTTTTTATAATGCTAGATATTGCACGATTTACAAAGCGCAGCGAAGTCCCTTAGTATATGCACAAAATGATACAAACTTACGTTTTTGTGCATTTAGACCAAAAATGGCTACTTTTTTTTTGATGCATTTGCATAACGATAAGTATAAAAAATCATATTTAAACTTAATTTGGAAAATTTTCATGCGCATCAATATTTGTAACAAAATAAGTACATTTACGCGTTTGTGTTACTGACACATAATGCCGTGCATTAATCTAATCTACGAAATGATTGTTACACTAATGAAAGCAGCTGACATAAATAATTCAGATATTGATACAGCCTTTTTTAAAATTAATACTTTACATTTAATAATTTTCTAAATGTCTGAAGATTGGATTGCGAATAAAATCAATGGAGGCGAAATCACCGAATATAAGCTTGAAGACTTTGAAGAATTTCGAGCAATCATTGCAGGTGCTTTCAGTAAAGTTTATAAGGCAAGATTACGAAGTACAAAGAACATGTATGCTTTGAAAATTATTGAGAATAATGAGCATATTAATAAAGAGCTTGTGAATGAAGTAAGAAACATTAATTGAATATGACCATTTGATAAATATTTTTGCTAAAATGTATGATATGCTATTGATATGTAGTTGAAGCATATGATTTTTATAAAACCTCATAAGAACATTATTGAGTTTCATGGCATTATTAAGCATAAGGGTAAGGTTGTTAATGGACAATTTTTGTAAATAAATGTTTTAACATTATTTATTATTAAAAATAGATCAAATAGATCCAAATATTGTTAAATATGGACTTGTTCTTGAGTATGCAGATGGTGGAACTTTACGTGAATATCTCAAAAATACAAATAAAATTGAATGGGAATTAAAAATTCAATTTGCAATTCAACTTGTAGATGCAGTTAGATGGTTACATGATCATGATATTATTCATGGAGATCTGGTAAATTTTATAAAAATTTAGGATTTCAATTTGATATGATTGTGGTGTTAATAAAATTCATGAAACCTATTTTTTTCATCTTGAAAGCACTCTAATAATATACTTATTCATCAAGATGCCCTCAAATTGGCAGACTTTGGACTATCACAACGTGTTGTCGAAGCTTCTAGGTCTAAAACTACAAGTGAAATTTTTGGAGTTATACCTTATATTGATCCTCAATGCTTTATGGTGACAGAAAATCAAAATGGAAAATCTCGCAGACATAAAACGAATAAAAAATCGGATATTTATAGCATTGGAGTTATTCTTTGGGAAATATCAAGTGGAAAACCGCCATTTGATGATGTCCATGACACAGCCGCATTGCCATTAAGAATAAGAAACGGACTAAGAGAGAAACCAATTGCTGATACGCCTCACAAATATGTTACTATTTATGAGCGTATGTTTACAATATAATTTATGGCTTATATTTTTGTATATTACAATCACAAGTTCTAATTCGGATTTTAAACTTAATTTAGAGTGTTGGCAGGGGACACAAGATAACCGACCATCTATCCAAGAAGTAGCTATGGAATTAAAAAATATTATTGCCCAAAACATCGAAATCAACATTGAAGATATCGATAATACAAAAACTCTTGAAATTTTGCTTGATAACGCTTTTGGTATTAATAACGTTATTGATTTAAAGAATGATATGATACTTTTTGTAAACAATCTATATTCGACTTTTAGTAAACTATTTAATGAAGGTGGATCGGTTAGTTATATAATTATAAATTTCATATCCAAACATAACAAGACTCCAGAAGAAGTTTTTAATTGGCTGTTTATAAATAATGATAATTCAAAGTATATTCTCCTACTCGGATTATTTTATAATTGGGGTATTGGAACAGATAAAATTGATGCAGAGTCATTTGATTTATTTCTTAATGCGGCAACAAAAGGTAATGTTATTGCACAGTATTTTGTTGGAAGGTGCTATGAAGTTGGTTGGAACACCAAGAAGAGTATTAAGGAGGCAATTGAATGGTACAATAAAGCAATTGGGGATGAATGTCCAGCAGCAGAATGTATGCTTGGAAATTATTATTATAAAAATGGTGAATATATTCGAGCATTTAAATTACTCGAAAGCGCAGTTAAAAAGGGAAATATAACAGCGATGCATACCTTAGGATTATGTTATCAAAAAGGTCGTGGAACTAGTGCCAATATGGCTGAAGGGTTTAAATTATTTGAAAAGGCGGCTAAAATGGGACTACCTTCTTCACAATATGAACTTGGCCAATGTTACGAATCTGGTAAAGGAACAAAAGTAAATTTGGAAAAGGCATTAGATTGGTACCAAAAAGCTGCAGAAAAAGATCGTACTTACCGAAATGATCGTGAACGTGTAAAGCTTAGAATTATAAAAGATCGTGACTAAAGACACAAATATCAGTACATGAATGTAAGAGGAATTGTTCCGTTTAATTTTTTTGATTTTTTACAAAGGATTAATATATCTGTAGCCATGGGCTACTGTAGCCGTAACTAAAATTACCCTTTTTTTGTTAGTTAGTATGCGAGTGAAAAGGTGTGCTTTATAGTAAAATTTAGCAATGAATTTTTTTTATTAGAACCCAAAGAGTAGTTTCATATACTCAATTTTGAGTTATAATCGATTTTTTGCCAATTTTTAACAAAACGAACGATGTTTTGAATTTTCCTGATTGTGTTAGGTTACACCTGATCTTTAAATTTTGATTGGCTTTTATGGGATGCGGTTACAGTAGCCATGGCTACAAATATATTACTCCTTTTACAAAATATTTTTAGCAATTTTTCATTGTTAATTTTTAGAAATAATTAGATTTTTCGTGTTATATGTTTTGTATTAAAAACTCCTATTCCGCCGTTGTTGTTCTCATGATGTTACGACGCAAGGACAATAGCGACGATATATTAATATGATAGGCTTGATGAACTCGAGTTGATTTTGAATGATAACAAAATATATCTACACAGTGTAGCTAATAATTAATAAATGAAAAGTTGTCAAATATTGAAGAAAAAATTTTCCGAAAAAAAAATTAAACCAAAACAATTAATCAATTATAAACTATATAATACATAAACTTCTGCAAAGCAAAAGTCAATAAAAGTACCTAAAGGTAGGGATGTTACAGTCCGGTCCGGGTAACGGACCGCGGACCAGACCGTAATTAATAGACCGGTCATTAAACAGTCCGGTCCAGGACCAGTCAAGACCGGTTTTTGGACCGGTTTATTTTAACCAATAGAAATTCAGAAAAAATGCACGTACAGCATTTGAAAACGTAATCTGCTAACGTAATACAGTAATTTTTTAAAAAATAGCGCCATATAGTTTAATGAAAATTTTATCCTTATTATTGACTTTTTAAAGGATTCGTTGATCACGGCTTTATACAAATAACCAAAGTTTTTTTTAATTTTACAGATTCAAAAAAGATATTTTATATATTTTCTTATAAGTAAGAGAGGAGATGTATAGAAGCATATAATAAGACAACTTTATAGATCAAAAAAAGTCGGAATTTTTTTTTTAATTTTTACCTACTCCATTACTAATCCAACTTTTAACACAAAGACATGCTCTTGCTGTTTCAGAATGAAGGCAGTTACAAGTTCTTGAAATAGTATTGCTGGCTATTAAAAAGGCTTGTTCGCATGCGACACTGGTGGCTTGAATGCTAAGATAGTCAGACGCCATTTTTGATAAAATCGGATAAGTTTTCTGGTTTGCTTTCCACCAATCCAGTGGGTTTGTGCTTTCATCAATAGTATCAAACATAAGATAATTGTCTAATTCATTTAATTCGTTGGTATCTATGGTTGATAATTCGGTATCATCAGGAATTGAAGATTCTTCTGTTTCTAGTCTATTGCGCAAGTTCCAAAAGAATTTTCTTGCAGTTTGACTGGATTTTCTGGAACATTGCTAGAGACTGGTAAAGCTTGTCTATCACCATGAATATATGGATTCATAGCTTCTTGAATGGCTTTCTTAGCATTAACAATGTCTGTTCTATTAAATATTTTTAATTTAGTATGAGGATCAAGGATGGCGGAGACAATAGAGGGCTTATCCATTATACTCCAGTATTCTTCTATTTTTTGGTTCATTGATACTGCAGCTCTGTTTTAAGAAAATTCATCTTGCTCAATATATGCATTTAAATGATCCTGAATACTTAAAAACACCAAACATATGTCACCCATGGTTGGATATGATGCAGCCGAAAGTAATTTCGTGGCAGTTTCAAGTGGTTCTAGTAAGGCAAGTCCATCCTAAAAACAAATTAATTTATTATATTAGTTTATGCTTTTTACTAAAACGCATCTATAGCGGTTTACATCTATGTATATATTATTCCAAAAAACTGGCTAATTAATCGGTATGAGGTGCTTTAAGTAAAAATGTTTTATGCCTCAAAAACTCTAGCCTTAATCC